CATTTTCAGCGTGCTGTCGAGCTGCTGGCGGCCGCCCAGCTGCCCCTGGAGGCGCTGCGCTGCCTGGGCCAGCTGGCCTCCTGCTTGCTGCTGGGCCGCGACCATGACGGCGCCCTGGCCGTGCTCACCCAGGCACAGCTGCTGGCCCAGGCTGGGCCCAGCCCGCCCAGCGGTGCATTCCTGGAAGTGCTGGTGCATTGCGAGGTGTCCCGTGTGCTGCTGCTGCTGCTGCTCCAGCCACCACCGCCCAAGCTGCTGCCCGAGCACGCTCGCACCCTGGAGAAGTACTGCTGGGAGGCCTTCGAGAGTGGGGCTGGGGCAGGTGCTGGGCAGCTGCCCCAAGCTGCCTACCTGCCCCCCGGCCTTTTCCTTCTGCTCCAGTCGGCCGTCATGGCCTGCCAGGAGAAGGACCTCGAGGCACTCAAGGTGCTACAGGCTGAGCTCTGGCCACTGCTCAGCCCCGAGCAGAACCACTTGCTGCACCTGGTGCTGCAGGAGATGATCAGTCCCTCAGGGCAAGGTGTCTGAGCCCCCTCTGCCTCCATGCAGTGGACCAGCTTTGTTCAACTGCTGCCACCTTCATGTGGAGGTGGGAAGCAGGGGGATGAGTGTTAGCCCCCTGCTGCTGCTGTCCTGGGATTCAGAGCTCCTTGGGCCTCGCCCACCCTGGCACTGATGTCACTCTTGCTTGCTTGCTCTTTGACAGTGATACACTTGTGCTCACTCTGTGACAGTAACTTGGTGTTTCCACAGACACTGGGTTTGCTTGAACTGAGCTGCTGCTGCTAATTTCACAGGAGCCAAAACCTACCTGGCATCACCAGTGAAACAAATCTGTATGCCACCTGGAGCAGAGCTCAGCGCCCTCACTGCTACTAGGAATAGCCCTTTGTCACCAATTCTGACCTCCAATCCAGTCCCTGTTGAGAACTACCATCAGCACTGCAACTTATTTCACCCTCCTCCTCCTGCCACTTGCCGTGGGCTTCTGTATCCTGCTGCAGCTGACTCTTTCCCGCCTCCCACTGTCATCCTCCATGTATAGAGGAGAGTGGTTTGGTGTCACAAGGGACAATTCCCCTGTCTAGAGGACCATGAATTTGCACAAGCTAATTCTTCCTCTCCTACTTCTGGCCCTAAGACTCTCCCTTCATCCCAATGAAGAATAATTTTGCTTTTCTCCTACAGCTCAAGGGAAAATTGGAGACTCCTCCCACTGTGTAATATGACCTAGCACATTCATAACTGCCAGTCTGCTAGCACAGAGCACAGCGGTGATGATCTGGACTTGTTTGCTATGTCTTCTGGAGAAATAGCTACACTCATTTTCCCAACAGCCTGCAAAAGCCAGAGCCTATTCCAGTTTAAAATCCAAGGTGTAATGACTAGGGCATTTTGTGTATATTTTAAAAATTAGACTATTCCTTGTACCAGCCAATTCACATATGTATTTAAAGTGGTAACTTGAAAAACAGAAATGACATGTTGATGATGGTGCTTTTTCTCCTCTGCTCCAGTTTTGTTTAGTGCTGGAATCTTGACTGAACTTGTCCTGTCTTCTTAACTATTGGCTCTGTCCCTTGCTCTGTTACTATAATACTACAGAAAGCACTCTAAATATGAAAAAGCATTCTGTATGTTTCTGTAAGCAGCTGTCTAGTAATATTGGGCACAAAGATGCTTTAGAAGCTTACAGTGGGGAAAAGTGCAAGCTATAGCTGAAGCAACGTGAACGTGTGCATGTTCTCTTTTGGGGCTAGACCTGATGATCTGCAAAGTCCCTTCCAGCCCCTAACAATCTATGAATTTTGCTTCTGATGGTATTGTCCAACAGATGCATCTGCATTTATGCAGTGCATAACTCTGTAGTGCTGTTAGGTACTGCATTTGTATATTACAGTTAACTTTAATATATGTAATTGTAAGTGAGAAGGAGTGCCATGGTATAAAAGAATGCTCTTGTGTCAACCAAAAAACCTTTTGCCTTCATAATGGAGGACAAAATTAAGCCCCTGAAATAGCCCTTTTTTCTACAGCACATGAATTTGGATTAGTTTTAATGTTTTGTGACTTCCATTGTTTTAAAATACCAGAACAGTTGGATAGATGTAGGGGCAAATCCATGAGGGGTGTAATGTTCGAGCTGCACCCTCCTCCTGGGCTGGGCTAGGCTGGACTGCACTGCAGGACTGTAAGCCCTTAAACACAGGTAAAAATCGTCTTTCTTCTCTGTACTCAGCACAGTGCCTCCCCTCCCCTGCGTGCCTTCTGGGTTGGGGAAGCAGCTGGAAACAGCAAGAGCAACAGCAGTGGGGAGGGTGCATCCAGGCAGCAACTATGGAGCTTCCCCCATCCCTGGGACAGTGGGAAAAGCAGCAGTGGGGGAAGGGGAGGGGAGTACCCCTGAACAATGATGGGAAGGGGTTGGGGGGTGGGATTGTTCAGTACTTTCATAGACATTAGGGCTGGAAGGGACCTCGCAAGATCATTGGGTCCAGCCCCCTGTCCAAGGGGCAGGAAGTCGGCAGAGGTCAAATGATCCCAGCAAGATAGACATCCAAGTGTTTTTTGAAAGTATTGAATATGTGCCTGCACCACCTCTGGCAGGAGTCTATTCCAGGCTGTCTATTCCAGTCACTGTCCCAAATCGATTCGTCCAACTCTTCAAGTTACGCAGGCCCTGTCTCCTACCTGCTCTGCCAGCCTAGCAATGGCTACCCTACCCACTGCAGCTCTGGCCCCTAAGCTAATTTAGACCCAATAAAAACTTGTTATTAATGAATTACACATCCTAAAGAGAGAGAATTTAATTAGCTATGCATATGTACTAATATGTAAAATAACAGCCTACATCAAGTACAGAGCTGGCCTGGTGCCACAGAGGCATGGCATGGGGTAGCTCAAGAAAGATTTCTGGGTATAATCCCAGCCCAAAATCCAGTTTCTTATTCGGGTCCATATACTCAGCACAGTGGCTGGGGTGCTGTCTGTTGGCAGACTGGCATGGCCGAACCGTGCTTTAGGTCAGGCAAGTCTCTGGTGAGATGTATCTGGTAGTCTCCTGGTGGCGCAGAGCTATGCTGTGGAGTGGCCCAAGCAGAATTTCTAGCCGTAATCCCAGCCCGAAACCCATTTCCTTATTCAATCCATTATACTTAGTACAGTGGGCATGGGGGCTGGCAGCTGGCAGCCTGGCATGACCAAACCATGCTTTCAGCCAGGCGGGACTGTGGTCAGAGTTCTTTGGGACAGTCTCCCAGTGGCATTGCCATGAAATTTGAGGTGGTTCAAGAAGTATTTTGCCCCATAATCCCATCCTAAGATGACCTTCATTTAGGGCTCTGTGCTTGATGTGGGATATAATTTTACATATTAATTAGTAGATCTGCATAGCTAATGAAATTCTCTAGGATGTGTAATTCATTAATAACAAGTTTTTATTGGGGTCTAGATTAGCTTTGAATAAGGAACTGAGAATAAGGAACACAGAACTGGAAACAGGAAACCAGGAATAAGGAACTGGGAATAAGCAACCAACTTCAGCCTCATTGGCTATCCAGGTCTTAAAAGCCTCAAAGAATGGAGACTGCACCACCTCTCTGGGTAACCTGTTCCAGTGCTTCACCATCCTCCCAATGAGAGTTTTTCCTAAAACCTACCTTAAACTTCCCTTGCTACAACTTGAGACCATTGCTCCCTGTTGTGTCATCTGCCACCACTGAGAACATCCCCTTGGCAACCACCCTGCACGTAGTTGAAGGCTGTTATGAAATCCTCCTCAGTCTGTTCTCTAGACTAAGCCCAGTTCCCTCAGCCTCTCCTCACAAGTCGTGCCCCAGGCCTCCAACGATTTTTGTTGCCCTCGGCTGGACTCCAATTCGTCCACATCCTTTCTGTAGTGGGGGCCTAAAACTGGACACAGTACTGCAGGTATGACCTCACCTCTGCCAAATACAGGGGAATGATCAGGTCCCTGAATCTGCAGTCAGCGCTGCCAATGCAGTACGCCCTTGGTCTTCTTCCCACCAAGGACCCCGCTGATCCCGTAAACGGGCAGCAGCCGTGGAGGCTGTCGTGCCCCTCGGTGCCCCCCTCCAGGAAGACGCACGTCTCAGCCTCAGCCTGAGGCGGGTGAAGGCTGCCCCACCCCCCCACGCGGGGCGCGCAGGCCCCGCCCCCTCCCTCCGGGCCGGGCGGGGGCCGGCAGAGCCACCATCCCTCCCACTCCACCAATGCCAGCACGGGGGGGGCCAGTCACATGACGCATAGCTCCGCCCCCGCTGTGCCCACGTGGCTGGCTCGGCCCCACGCGCGGTGCATCTCGGGACTACGCGGTCCTTCCGCTCTCGGCTGAGCTCGCGGCGCGGGGAACATGGCGGACGGCGGAGGTTGGACGGAGCCGTTCGGGCTGCGCCCCGAGCACATGGCGGCGGGGCGGGGAGGGCCGGGGGTCGGGACCTTGCTTGGGCTCGCAACAGCGCCGGCCCCTACAGCTGCCCCGTGCGCGGCCTTCTGGTGCGCTGGCGCGTGGCCGCCACTGCCCTACGGGGGGAGGGGGTGAGACACGCGCCAGGTGCGCGCGCAGTCGGGTCCGCCCAGGCCCACGTGGCGCCGCGGCCTTCTCCGCGCTACCGCCCCTGAGGCGGGCGACGGGAGACCCCGTCTCACCCCGAGCCCGGCCTTTCAGCTCGGCGGCCGTGGCTCCTGGCCGCCTGGAAGCGGGGCCGCCCGCCGGAAGGAGCACGTGGTCGGCTTCAGACCCGCCGACGGAGGCTGCTTTTTATGGAGCCTGGGATGGGGAAGCTGGTCCAGGAAGGACGGGCGGTGGTGAGGAAAGGGGCAGCAATCGTTGTTGAGCCTAGGAGAGAGCCTCTGAATGGGCTTTAAATGCTGGAGGCTCAGAGTAGAGAGGACCAGTGGGAAAAGCCCTGGTCAGTCCCAGTTCCCTGCCCTAGTGATACAAGCCTGTTTGACCTGCCAAGGGTCAGGGGCTTTGGTTCATTGTGGAAAACTAAGCTTCCCTTAAAAGAGGCCACTGGCGACATGTCGACTAATTATTTGGGATGATTAAAAGAAAAGAGGAGGAATGAGGGCACAGATTAATAGCAAGGGCCTGTGTGACACAGAGGCCTGGGCAAGACAGACCCATGGTCTAATCCAGTCAGTGGCAGGTCTTACGTTTTGCAGCAGGTAAAGGACCTGAAAGGAAAATGCAGCCACAGATTTGTTGGAACACTTGAAAAAGAAAACAGGCTAATAAGGGTTCCCAGAGGGGACACGCCAGCCAGCACCCACTGCCCCCTGAGCGATTCCAGGGACCTTGTGGATGCCAACCAGCGAAACTCAACCTATAGATGAGCCACAGTGTGAAAAGAAGAGCCCCACCCTCACCCCAATTCAGGTTCCTCCATACCATAGCCTTTGTCCTGGTCCTAGACAGGGCAAAATGGCCTACGGTCTGACCCAGTAAATGTCCATATTTTTAAGGACTCTTAACATAGTGGTTTAGAAGGCAGTTTTCTCTAGTGAGTTTGGATGATTATTTTCTGATGGAGGTGGCTGCTGCATTACACAGTTCCACTCACTTAGGCTTGGGCAGGGTCTGGAGTGAAAGGTGGTGACTGTCTCTCCCTCTTTCTTGTACAGGTTCTGTAGGGAAGAAGCACAAGAAGAAGAAGGACAGGAAATCGCTAGCTGCAGATGATGTTGCTGTAAGTGATGTCTTTATCTTTTTTTTTCTTCTTGTCTTGTAGGCCTATGTTTGCCTCCAAGTAAGCCTTGGTGCCTTGGCTTGGCTCTTGGAGGTAGTTTAGGCAGAGTCATGGAACTTCCTTCATCATGTTTTCATTTAGGCAGCTGCCCAGAAAAGATTTTTGTCTTCTCTTGCAAACTTGTTAAGCTGTGGATGGTTTTTTAAACAAAGATGCTTGTATTTAAATGCTTGCAGTTTGAGATTGCAAGCTGTGAGGGGAAAAGGAAAAGCCAGACAGAAAGCCATGCAAGGGGAAACCATTCAAATGGCAGTTCAAGGACCTAATCTGGGATCATATGTATGTTGGCTTAAAAGAAAATGGTTCAAGTTTTATCAGTCGGTTGTTCAGCTTGTTTTAGGATTGCACTCAGATATTACAGTAAAGAGGGACTGACAAATATGTAGAAAAACAGAACTTGCTGCTCTTACCAGGTGGGAAAGACAACCTTCATCTTGGATTCACTAGGTGTGATAGTATTTTTCCCCTTGTTTGGGGGGGGTGGTATGCTGGCAGCTCTTGCGGCTCTGACTGCAGCTCCAACCCAAGGTTAAGGGTCGGAGTCGGAGCCACAGCAGCCTCTGCCTCCACCCTCCCCTACTTACCGTTACAGGCATGGTTCCAGCCCATGTGCTCTATACGCTCGATCTGAATGGGGCTAGAGATGTGCTTGATAGTAAGTGGTAGGGTGGGGCAGAAGCTACAGACAGTAGGTAGAGTGGGATCAGGGAGTGCCGTCACTGCAGGGGGGATGAGTAATTTTCAGTGTATAGAATCTAATGGTGGGGGTCATTTTAGATTTGAAGTAGTCTTGGATTTGGTTAAATAAGGTAAAATACTGTCCTAACAAACACATGTTGGTATACTGATGTGTGTAGTTTTATCATGTTCTACTCTCAGGGCATTGGTGTGTCTTGGAATAAAACTGGCTTTTTGTTAACAAGTCAATATTTTGAGACTAAAATGGCAGTTGAGGGCCACATAGAGTTGTTTGCATTACAGCTGACTACATTTGATATTTATCCTCATGGATATGGATAACAGTAAAAGGAGGAGGAGATGCTTGTGCTTAATTTCTTTTTTAAAAAGTAATTCCCCTAAATTAGCATTTTTCAACATTGCAATAAAGTAAATCCCTTGGCAGGGCTTTCCAGCTTCAGAGCAACTGAGGGCCATGTGCCCTGTTGGCAGCCACAGGCATGACAAGCTGCACACCCCAAGTGCATAGGTGCGCCCTGCCCCACCTTCAGTGGCCTTTGGGCTCGCTTCTGGCACTGCCCTGCATTGTGGCTCCAGACTGCCAACTCCCTTGGCATTGTGGGCTGCACTAGGGTAGGGGGCATGCAGCAGAAGCTGGGGGAAGAAGGGGAAGCCCCAACACCCTGGCTGCTGCTGGAGTTTGGAACAATAGGGGAAGTGGTAGCTGGGTGAGATGCCAAGGTTAACACCTCATAGGTTGCATGTGAACTGCCAGTTGGCCAGCACTGCTTTATGGGATTAGGGTTTAGTCTCTCTTCATGAATTCACTCTTATTATCTACAGCCTTGAAAAATAGAAGTTTTTCTTTTCTCAAATTATGTACACTAAGAAAATTTAGATTAGCTGTGATCTCTGCAGTAGAGAAGCTAACTAAGTCTAGCCATCTATTTGATAATGCCTCTGATAAATAGAAGTTATTTCTGTTAAATGATATGGGCAGTAACTGTTTTCATGTAATTAATTATTGGATTTTTTTCTTTTAAAATGAGCCATTTATAATTAAATAGAAAATTGTTGGTCTATATTAAGGCCTAAACTAAAAATAACTTATTAAAATTTAAATTAGTGAAAGCAATATTGAAGCTATGTATTTGCTGTCAAAGTTGTTTGGTTTTTTAAAGCCAAAATGCAGACTTAAGAGGAAGTCATTGACAAGTATCTAGAACTAAGATGATGTTTAGTGCTAAACTAGCTTTGGTTAGTGGTAGGCTTTCTTTCTATGGATAAGGAAAGAATGTTTTCTTCTTTTCACTTTATTCAGCTGGTTCAGCTAATGACCACTTTAATTAAAATTGGGGAATCAACTGTTGCAACAGATGTTAATACATAAATTTGTTAGATTTGTTTAATTTATTTTCTCACATTGATAGCTTTGCCTTACTAAAACCATTCCAAAAGGCAATTTTAATGCATTTTAATTGAACTTCAACTACTGTCCAAAAATAAAGTGCTAGGTAGGACCTGTGAATGAAAACTAATTGTCTGATAAGCTGGACATCATTTACAGTTTTTCCCAAATGTGATCTCTGCTCTTTATTATGTATCAGTTTATTCCAATATTTACTATAATTTGAATGTTCCTTTCCTAAGGGAATAAATAAAGTACAAAATATAAAAACAAAATTAAATTGATTTAAATCAGCATTCTCGCTTACTAAGGTAAATCATGATTGCAGTTGTTCATTTACATCAATTTGGTTTACATTATTCTTGCCTGACAGTTGCTAAAGTTTTTTAAACGTCTTATTAACTAACTTATGAACATTTACAAGGAAATTCTAGAGACTTTGGAGGACATTGCCTGTCAGTTCTAATTCTCTGACTTAGTATTTCAATGTCTCCTCAGGATATACAGTATACAGAGGAATTTTTCATCAAGCCAGAATCCCGGGTGGCTCAGCTGGACACATCTCACTGGCCCTTGCTGCTGAAGGTAAGGAGCATGACAGAAAAGTCTAGGCCAGTTTAGGGTATACTCTTTCTGATTGTATACAATAAGCACCACTAGGTCTTGTCTTTCACATGTGTTTTTAGTGTACTGGCAAAGAAAGTAATGTCCATGGGAGCTTAGAGCTGACTAACCCCTCTGTGTCATGTAAAACTGTTCTCTTGCCTTGCCCATAAATGTGCCTGCTAGGAACTTCCCTGTTCCTTCTCTCTACTCCTGCAGTGATGATTCCATGGGGCTTCCATGGACTTCCTAGTTCTGGGTATGAAAGCTTAGATGCACTGGATTAACTGTCTTGTAGTTTGTTCGGAAAGCTTTTCAGTTGTTTCTGTCAAAGGCTGTGCTTTTCGTAGCTGCTCAGTATTCTCACTGCTATTGGAAAGCTCAATTTCTACATATGCCAGTTTTCAGTTGGCTATAATTCATATTTAATCAAACTCTAATTCACGTATCTAGTAGTGGAGTCCCAGGACCAAAATACTAAGTTTTCAGGAACATTTTTTCCATTTTGTTTGAATTTTATAGAATTTTGACAAGCTCAATGTGAGGACTGCGCACTACACTCCCCTTCCATCTGGTTCTAATCCACTGAAGAGGGAACTTGCTGAGTATGTTCGGTAAGCATATGTAGGAAAACGGCTGTTCCTTCTCTTCGTTTGTGTTGTACATGAATCTTCTGATTGCCTGGTTCAGGGGTTGAAAACTTCTTGCCACCACAGGTTGCTGCTTGTAACCCAGCCCCTGCCACAGGATGTACCCTACACCTCCCTGTTGATCAGCCATGCTGCGAAGGGAATAGAGAGGAAAAGGCAGTTGCTAGGATCCTGGAAGCGCTTTGTCTTGCTGTGGCTGGAGCGCATTGCTGATTGCCTTGGCTATCGCAGTTGTTTAGAGTGATGCTAATAGCACCAAGGTCACAGGTTCAATCCCTGGTTGGACTAGATGATCTCCTGAAGTATTTTCTAGCCTTAATTCTCTAGGAAATGTTCAAGGGCTGGATCCAGGATGTAGGTTGCACACTCCTGATGTAGTTCCAGAAACTGTTGCTTCTCTCCAGTGTTGCTGGATGTTCAGAAATCCTCTTTAAACTTTCAGCAGATTCATAATCATTAAAGCTGTTGTTAGAACAATTTTAATAGCATTTTTGGTACAGCCACAAAAGCAAACTTCTGTAGAGTTGAAGGTAGGCAGATGGACTTGCCTTTGTTGAAGGTACAGCTTCTGTAGCAGTTAATTTGGTCAAGTTCTGCTTATTGAAGATTAAGATTTCCAAGACCCAGGAGCCTGAAATTGTGCTTCTGGCTAAGTGGGTTGTCCTTTCAAAGAGCTGTGCACTAAACAGCCTCCACTAGTGTGGTGAGAACTTGCATGTTCAACACTCTTTATAAATAGGCCACTTATTTAGAGGTTCCTGTCTTTGAAAATCTTGTATATACGCTGCAAACGTATGATTGCTTTGAAAGCCAAATGTTGGTTAAGCAGGAGTGGGGTAGCAGCTGGTGTTAGTGGTTCTAAATATCTATAATTTGTTTCACTGTAGGTCGGGCTTCATTAACCTTGATAAACCATCCAACCCTTCTTCCCATGAAGTGGTTGCATGGATCCGGCGCATTCTTCGGGTTCAGAAGACCGGGCATAGTGGGACACTAGACCCTAAAGTAACTGGATGCCTGATTGTGTGTATTGAGCGAGCAACACGATTGGTCAAATCCCAGCAGAGTGCAGGTATGTTTTATTTTATTTTATCTTATTTGGATGAAAACTGTAAATTTTAGAGCAGATGGCTTTATTTCTAGCTCATTAAAAGTCTACTTCTAGGGCAGGTTGCTAAGCAACATTAGAGGCTAGGATGAATTATGAGCCCCAAATGGTGGCAGATAATACTGCATGTTTTCCTAAGAACTGTTACAGCACATCCCATTACATGAACAGGTTTCAGGAGAGCACAGCATGTTTAACTTACAAACTAGAGGTTAACCTGCCCTGTGGGTTTACGAAATAAAACTTGCTACACAAGAAACCTGCAGCTTGGCTCCCTTTGTCAGATGAAATATGGGTGTGTTAGACCTTTTGGTAAAGGTGGTAATTAAGCAGTTGTGCCTCTAGGTATTTGAGTTACGGTGCCACCTGCCTGGTGGTAAACAGTAAAACACAAGTGGCTGCTCCTGACTACTCTTCTGTCGTTCTTCCAGGCAAAGAGTATGTGGGAATTGTTCGGCTGCACAATGCTATTGAAAGCGAGACTCAGCTTGCCAGGGTAAGTCTCTGTGCCGCGAAGCAAAACATACACTGAATACTTAATGCAGCAAGCAGTTTATGTGGGAGACACTGAGGAAGAGCTGGTGGAGAACAGTCTTTTAACATTGTGATATAAAGAACATCTTGTTCTCACAAGACTCCAGTTTAATAACACAGATTTTTCTAAGAGTTAACATTAAAGGCAATTTGTTGCTTGCAGCATAGTCATTGGTAGTCATTGTGGTCTCCATACTTTAGAGCTGCCTGGTCTTTTAAGCTTTATCCATCCTTTCTAGCAAAGGGGTGTTCTCTTTGTTCATCTTGTCCTACTGCCCTGAGTGCCGAGGCACATATGGTATGTGAAGTGATGATGAAGTTTATCCATTCTCTGAGTGCTGCTGCACTGCCCCCCTGCAACACCCAGGTCCCTGTTCTAGGGGCTGTGTGCTGTGCAGCCTCCAGATTCCCTGCAGCCTGTCAGTGTTCTACTGGGGGCTGTTGGTGTGTCTGGATGGCTGCCTGCAGGAGTGAAGCAGAGCAGCAGAGCTGGAGCCTTTCTCCATAGGGGGCTTCATCTCAACCAAGACGAGGGATGCTGTCTGATCACATACTGCTGCCTAGCAAAACATCCCAGTATACCCCTTATCAACCCCATCAGTGACTGAAATATAGTGGTTGTTATCAAGCATGGTGGGTATCTGACCTAATGGGCTTCATTAATGAAATATGAGCAGACCACCTGAAGCCTGCAGTTCTCTGGATATGCAAGTGACCTAATTGTCTCAAGTGTTTGCGTCTTAAATGTTACTAACTATAAATGCGAGTTACACAGCATTGAGGGCTGTCCATTCTTCTGCTTCTCCCCCCAGGCAATAGAAACTCTGACAGGCGCACTATTTCAGCGTCCTCCTCTCATTGCTGCTGTAAAGAGGCAGCTGAGAGTCCGAACCATCTATGAAAGCAAACTAGTGGAATATGACCCTGAGAAGAGATTAGGTAAAGTCATGCTCTCTCTTTCATATCTTTTTCTGAGCAAGCTACTTAAGGGGGCCTGCTTTTCTTCTTTTGGATGAGACTGGTGTGCAGGTGTTTGAAGTCCCCTTCTGAAATCCAAGTCTTGTGAGATAACATCCTAATTTGAAACGGAGGTAGGTGTTAAGGCTGGATTGTTGAATGGGCTGTACTGTGCCACTGTCTGGTAAGGGAGGAAACAGTGTCCCTTGCTGTTGTTACTGAGGGAATATGCTTTATCTTGTATGATGATTTCTGTTAATGACTAATAGAATTTCTGTGTGCCTCCTTCCCTAATGGATGAAATTCTTCACTGTTCAGATATATACCTTAGCAAAATTTATCCTTCCTTTACATTTTTTTTTTCAGTGTTGAAGTGTCAATACTTCTTGCTGAGTTCCTTTTTGAAGAGCCAAATGATGTAAAATAGATTGCAGTAGCACTATGTGCAAAGATGACTTACATCTATCACCCAATACTGATGGCTGTTTCTGGGGTCCTGAATATAGAGCATCTCTGTACTCTAGTTGTTGTCCTGGCTTTAGAGAATGGTGGCTAGGTTTGTCTGAATTGGAAAGGCAAGTGTGTTTATATGGATATCTCAATGTTCTTCTCTGCCCTTGGTCCCAGGCATCTTCTGGGCAAGTTGCGAAGCTGGCACTTATATTCGAACACTGTGTGTCCACCTTGGCCTGCTGCTGGGAGTCGGAGGCCAGATGCAGGAGCTCCGTCGAGTGCGCTCAGGAATCTTGGGGGAGAAGGTAAGGTGTTACTGCTGCTTATGCTATAAACTGTTCCTCCCCAAAGTGTTGAGTTCAGGTCAGGGCTGCTGCCCCTGTTCTGGTAATTAAGCTTTGGGACAGTGAATGACTGGTGAATGTGCCAAAGTGATGGGAAATCTTACATTTTGCCACTCCATTCTCCAGCCCACAAATCTGTCTCCTCTGAATTCAGCTGCATGAGCTTTCTGCTTGCATTCTGCCTTCAGGTAGTGGCGTATCTTATGCATTGCACTTAAAAGGGCACCTCTTTGTAATATTTGAATGTTACTTTGAAAGTGATATAAAAACTATAGATAGACTTTCCAGCCTGACCATAAAAGTAAAGAGAGTTTGGATAACTTTTGTTTCCAGAGCAAGTTATCTGAAGTAAGTCTCTGAATATAGGTATTTCTCCAAAAACTTGTGGTTAGGGATGCACTGGTGGGTTTTCTTGGGCTGGTACCGATGGCCGGTTGTTTTTAAGGAGCCTTATCAGCTGATACCAATCCAGTTCTGATATACAGCCTCACAGCTTGGAGACCAGGATCAGGCTGATACGTCTGGTGTGGGGGAAAAGAAGGCGTGTCGGGGGGCAGATTGAGGCCCCTGCAGTGAGAGAGGGATTGGGGCAGAGGCAGGTGCTGCTCAGTGGTGGTAGGGTGTGGCAGGCTGTGGAACAGAGCCGCAAGTGGCTGGTCTGGAAGAGGGGACAGCTCCTGCTGCTGCGCACACCCTGGGAGGGCATATGCCCCCGGATCTGCGTAGGGCAAGGGTGGGCTGCTGCTGTGTTCAGGGAGGGTAGTGGTGCTGGAAGCAGGGCTACGGCGGGGGCTGCAGCCACCCCAAAATTCACTGTATACCCCCCCAATTTCCCCTTCCAGTACCGCCATCTCACAGCCCAGCCCAGTCCCTGGCCCCAGCCCGCAGTGGCAGCCTGCCTCGCACAAATCCAGGGGGCGCCCGCCCCCGTGCCCTCCTGGGGTGTATGCAGTGGTGGGAGCCGACCCCCATGCATCTGTCCCAGATCCGTTCCCTCCCTCACCTCAGGGGCCTTGATCAGCACCACCCCCCCATGTCCCTCCCCTTCCCCTACACCAGACTTACCAGCCCAACACTGGTCTCTAAGCCCCATATATGCTGAGGCTATGCGCATGCGTGGGACACTTTTCGGCCACCTCAGGCAAAAGAAGCCAATTGTGAATACTTTCAATTTTCCTTATATCAGTGCTGATCTGATATGGGACCAATATATCGGTGTTCCTCTACTTGTACTTAATGCCTTATATTGTAGTATACCTGTTGCTGTTTCTGATCTCTTACTTGAGACCATTTCATCACTGTTTTGCCTTTGATTTAGGAAGCATAGGTAGCTCAGTCTTCTGTTGTTTGATCTTTCATGACTGGAAATCCAGGTTTACATGTGGGTTAGATCACACATTAAATGAATTCTATTTCCAGCAAGCACAAATGCTAACTTGTGGTCAGGCACATCCCAAGACTGCAGTAGCAGGGCCGGGGCTGAGGGATTTTTGTCCCTTACGTGGGATATGTTTGCTTACCTGCTTTGTTCAAGGCTGTTGCCAGTTTTGTCCCTGAGCCCTTTTTTCAGAAACTTGGGATTTATTCTGACTTCAGCCTGCTCCTCGTGACTAGTGTTGTCTGCATTCACTCAGTTCTGTCTTTTATTTTGGTGGCTGACTTAAGGGTTGATGGAATGGGAAATGTCTCTTTGCAGGACAGCATGGTGACTATGCATGATGTGCTAGATGCTCAGTGGCAGTATGACAACAACAAAGATGAGAGTTATCTGAGGCGGGTTATCTTCCCCTTGGAGAAGTTGCTAACTTCACATAAGCGGTTGGTGATGAAAGACAGTGCGGTGAGTTCAAAGGCGGCTGTGGAGATTGTTGACCCCATCCATCTTGGATAGCGAGAACTTGAGGTTGGGGAATCTGATGATAATCCAGATGCTTATGGACAGCAGCCAAAACTGCTTTTAAAGGGTTAGCTGTGGGAGATAGTTGGTGCAAGTCCCACCTGAGAAAGATGGGCAGTGTGCAAGATGACTTTTTTTCATTTAAAAAAAACAAACCAAAAACATGTTCCAAGCCAAATCAATTCCAAATCCATGAGTCATTCAAGAACCATATGTGGTCATACTACTGGCAAACCTATTCCAGTGGGGCTTCAGATGCTTTCAAATCATTTGGCGGGCATCCTACATGCAGGCCCAAGCCCAGAGACTTGGGGTTCAGATGCCCCCAAGTTTCACTTGCTCCTGCAGCTGTATGGCTGAGGGCAAGCTAGGGAGGAGTCTCCCATTTCCATAAAGTGGGCATAAAGCCAAGATCTTGCCACTGGAAATGAAAGTGGGAGATTAACTATACGTTACCTCCAGGAGTACTACCCCATGCCAAAAAAAATGTATGCCTAGCGATTAGGAAAGCCGCCTTAGTGGTCACGGTATTTCAGGTCTGCACTTGATCTGAGCCAAAAGGCCACCTGCTCACATCTTATTTTGCTCCAGCTAGTGGAGTCTACTCTACAGAGCATTCCAGGGCTCCTTTTCACTAGTTTCCATAACAGGTGGGTGAGGGAACATTATTGTACAAGGTGTGGTGCTTGTGTATGGAAGTTGAAATGGCTGGATAACTTTGCAGTGGCAGTGTTTCCTTTGTTGCTTAGGACCGCACTGCTTTTTATGCTAAGCCACCTATTCTCTACCCCTACCTTTCCAGGTTAATGCCATCTGCTATGGAGCCAAGATAATGCTTCCTGGTGTCCTGAGGTACGAAGACGGCATTGAAATTAATCAGGAAATAGTTGTCATCACTACTAAAGGGGAGGCCATCTGCACAGGTAAGAGATCACTGGTCTTTCAGCTGCCAGGCTCACTGTTTTGAAGTAAATGTGGAAGGTTTTCACTAGCATGTTAGTAAAGTTGCAGCAAGCATGGGAGTTGAGTAAAATGTGTGCATATTAGGCAAACTCACCATAGACAAGTATTTTAAACCTTGTTTCTTGGTAACAATGACAGGATGTTAGGGCTGCCAAATCAATGATGACAACTAAAAAAGTAAGTCTAGTATAGTAACTGAAAATAAGCTGATTGCAAAGTGGTCATCAGCAGACTTCTTGATCCCATTACTTCATAGTTGTCTGTTCCTTTGTTGTCTCCCTTAAATCCTTGAGATAGACAAGGATTCTTGTGATGACTGTTCATCCGCTACTGTCCTGGGTGCTGAGATGTGTGGTATGTGAAGTAATGATGAAGTTTGTCCATTCTTTGAGTGCCTCTGCACTGCTTCCTGCAACACCCAGGTCCCTGTTCTAGAGGCTTTGTGCTGTGCAGCCTCCAGATTCCCCCCAGTCTCTCAGTGGTTTACTGGGGGCTATTCGTGTGTCTGGATGGCTGCCTGCAGGAGTGAAATGGAGCCAGCAGAGCTGGAGCCTCTCTCTATGGGGGGCTTCATTTTGGCCAAGATGAGGGGTGCTGTCCTATCACGTACTACTGCCTGGTAAATAGTTCTCTGCATGCCAAAAAACCTGGTGTAAAGAAATAGATAAGCTGTAGATGGCAGCTGACCTACTGTGAACTGTTGCATTTCTGTGCTTATACTAAAGCATTGTTTCAATGGACACTGCACAGGAAGTAAACACCAAGCTTCCCCATGACTGAAACAACACATGGGGTTGATCAGTGCAAGTGTGTTTTTATTGTGCACATATCCCATCTCCTGCACAGTACGCCTCCAAGTAATGTGACTAACCCTTATGGTTAGTCGGTGTATCCCATGTACTCTGTAACACTTACTCTTCAGTGTAGCCAGTGAGGTTGAGCCTGGTTACAGACTTCGGGAAACTGAGCTAGGTCTCTTAACCCAAGCAGTAGAGCTTCCTGCTTTTAGTCTTAGGATCATAGTTGTTTCATCTTCAGTAGAGTATAAACCTGTACCCTTTGGCTTCCATGATCACAGGCTTCGGAAAGCTTTGGCTTCCACGATCACAGTCCGTTCTTTGGTGAGAGAGGCAGTGGTCTGCTGGAAAGAGACAGCCTCCACCTCACTGCACTGGGAAGGAGGCTCTTCTCAGCCAGATTGGCTGACCTGCTTGACCGAGTTTTAAACTAAACCTGCTGGGGGATGGGGGGTTACTGCCACAGCAAGCCCACTGGGCAACTTTTGCAAATTCAGCAGGCTATGGCACTTAAGGGAACCCACCCCTACCCCAGCCCTGGAACAATGTGTAGAGACGACTAGGGCCCCCAGTGGGACACTTATGTGCCTGTACACCAATGTCAGGAGCTTGGGGATCAAACAGGAGGAACTGGTCCTCCTGCTAAACAAAAATTACTATGATCTCATAGGGATAACAGAGACCTGTTGGGACTCCACCTATGACTGGGCCATAGGTATAGACAGATATACCTTATACAGGAGAGATCGGTAGACAAAAGGGGCAGGGGTGTACCTCTCTACATCAAGGAAAGCTAACATTAGCATGCAGGGTGGACAGCTGGAGACTCTCTGGGTTAAAATCCATGGTGAACATGGCACAGGGGACACAATGGTAAGAGTCTACCACCGACCTAACCAGGAACAAGAGCTCAACCAGGATTTTGCCAAGGAACTGGCTGAGGCTGCACACTCCCAGTGCATGGTTGTCATGGGAGACTACAACTACCCAGATGTTTCGTGGCCTAATCCAAATGGTTGCAAAGCTTCCTCGTGTATGGATGAGCTGTATCTGACTCAAGAAGTCTATGGACCAATGAGAGGCAAAGTGCTGCTTGGCGTGGTACTGGCAACGGGGGATGATTTAATCGGTGACCTAACGATCGAAGGGGAGCTGGGAGACAGCGACCGTGAGCTGATCACCTTCACCATCTGCTGTAAAGCTGGCAAGTCAGTCAGCAATACAGAAGTCCTTGACTTCAGGAAAGCTGACTTTGACAAGCTCAGGAAACTTGCTAGTGAGGCCCTAAGGGACCACGACCTGAAGGGGAGGGGAGTTCAGCAGGAGTGCTTGCTCCTCAAGGGAGTGATCCTGGAAGCACAAGCAATGTCTATCCCATCTCAGAGGAAAGGCAGCAAAAGGGCACAGCAGCCCCCTTGGCTCTGCAGGGAACTTGTGGACCTCCTGCATCCAGAAAGACATATAAAGGATGGAGGGATGGATCCACCTCAAAGGAGGAGTATTCTGCACCAGTCCAGACCTGTAGGAAGCGAACCAGGAAAGCCAAGGCTGTGACCAAATTCAAGCTGACTACATGCATCATAGACGATAAAAAGTCTTCTTTTAGATATGTGGGGAGCCAGAGGAAAAACAAAAGTAACATTGGACCCCTGCTAAACCATATGAGACAGCTGATGCCCAGGAAAAAGCCAACCTGCTTAACGGTATTTTGCATCTGTTTTTCACCAGCCCCAAGGGACGGCCATGCTCAGTACAGTATGGGACAGCCAGGCTGAGAGAGAATTGTTATCCTACATCAATGTCTGGCACTGGCATGGATCTTCGAGAACTCGTGGCACTCAGGTGGAGTGCCTGAAGATTGGAAGAAGGCCACTGTGGTGCCTATCTTCAAGAAAGGGAGGAAGGTAGATTGGGGGAACTACAGGTCTATCAGCCTCACTTCTGTCCTCAGGAAGATCTTGGAAAAAATGATCAAAGGGACCATTCTTGACAAACTGGCTGATGGCAACATCCTGAAGGATAGCCAGCATGGGTTTGTTGCAGGTTAGATCTTGCCTGACCAATCTAATCTTCTATGACCAGGTGACATATCACCTGGACAGGGGTGAAGAGATTGATGTCATATATCTTGATTTTAAAAAAGCCTTCAATCTCATGTTCCATGATCATCGCATGGAAAAATTGGCCAGCTGCGGCCTCGGCTACACCACAGTCAAGTGGCTGGGGATTTGGCTCTGAGGTTGGACCCAGAGAGTGGTAGTTGATGGAAGTCGATCATTGTGGTGCACTGTGACCAGTGGGCCATCCTTGGGCCTATACTCTTTAACATCTTTATTAATGATGTGGACATTGGTATCAGAAGTGGACTGGCTAAGTTCACCGATGACACCAAACTGGGGTAATGCATACACACCTGAGGGCAGGATGGTGATCCAGGCCGACCTAGATGGGCTCAGAAAATGGGCAGGCATAAACCTGATGGCATTCAACACCGAAAAATGCAAGGTACTCCACCTTGGTGGGGGGGGAAGCCCGGCAGCATGCTTATAGGCTCGGCAGTGCTACGCTTGCTAGCACCATGGCCAAAAGGGACTTGGGGCTCATGATTGACCACAAAATGAATATGAGCCACCAATGCAATGTTGCCATTGGTAAAATGAGCAAAACTCTGGCTTGCATCCGTAGATGCTTCTTGATCAAATCCTAGGATATCATCTTCCTGCTGTACTTGGCCTTGGTGAGGCTGCAGCTGGAGTACTGCATCCGATTCTGGGCTCCACAATTTAAAAAGGATGTGGAGAAGCTTGAGAGAGTCCAGAGGAGAGCCACATGCATGGTCAGAGGGCAGGGAAACAGACCTTATGATAAAAGGCTGAGAGCCATGGGACTCTTCTGCCTGGAAAAGTGCAGGCTCAGGGGTGACCTGGTGACAGCCTATATGTGCATAAGGGGTGTGAATTGGGATCTGGGGGAATACCTGTTCACCAGAGCGCTCCAAGGGATGACAAGGTCAGATGGTCACAAACTCCTCAAAGACCGTTTCAGGCTGGACCTAAGGAAGAACTTTTTTACTGTCCAAGCCCCTGAGGCCTGGAACAGACTCCCTCTAGAGATGGTGCAAGCACCTACTCTGGGCTCCTTTAAGAGGCATGTGGGCATCTGTCTTGCTGGGATCCTTTGACCCCAGCTGACTTCCTGTGCCTGGACCAGGGAGCTGGATACTGTGATCTTCCAAAGTCCCTTCCAGTCCTAATGCTTATGAAATCTATGAGGCCTGTGCTGAGTGGATCTTGCAGATAGTTTTTCAGGTCTCCTTTTTTTCAGATTTCTCTCTTGGGGATAATTATTTTTGGAGCATGTCTTTCTAACCCTTTGATGGACATGTAGAGCAAAGTGAACCCATTAACTGGATAGCTACACCATAGCCCATACAGCTTTTTGTTCCTCACAGTAGTCACAAACTTTTTTCTTTTAATCCACATCTGTAGCCATTGCCTTGATGACCACTGCTGTGATTTCTACCTGTGATCATGGGATAGTGGCAAAGATCAAGAGAGTAATCATGGAAAGAGACACTTACCCCCGAAAATGGGGTCTTGGCCCAAAGGTAAGCTGTGGGAGTTAAGGGAATTGCTTGTTGGAAGATTCTTGAAGTGGGTGTTCTGCTGTTGAGAAGCTAATTTTTGGGTAGATTCATTCAAAGCTGCAGGTCCAAGGTACTGGCTTGCAGTTTCAGCCCAAAAGCTCCATTTCTAAGAGTGCAGCATGCAAGCTACTTCAGCTTATGTCACTTGCATGCCATCTGAAATGGACTTGATCAGCTGTGCCTCTGCTGTGAAACTCTGGAGCCTTTGGGCTGTGTCTTGCATTACTATAACAATGTCAGGGAGCTGGATTTCTCTTAACATGGTTCAAAGCTTGTCTCCAAGTGGTTAAGAGTCAGTCTACACAAGTCTTGATTAGTCTGTGCTGGGTGGGGACCTTTCTTATGTGAAGAGCCAAATGATGTAAAACAGGTGACATCAGCACTCTGTGCAATGCTGACTTCCATCTATCACCCATTACTGATGGCTCATGAAGGGACTGGGCACAGAGCAATCAATTCCTTATTCTTGTGAGACTTAAGTAACGGGTAAAACAGAGTTCTTTGAAAGGTGTCATAGAAATGAAAAAATACTGTTACTACAGTGCATGTAGGCAATGCCACTTGCACATTCTCCTGCCTGAGATCCTTGCCTTCATGTTATAACCGTCTGCCTAACTGGTATAGTAACAGTAGATGATTGGCTCCATCTGGCTTGGAGTTTAGCCTCCTCCAGACTGTTAGTGTAAAGTCCTCTTTTCTGGCTTGCTTATTGCCTCAGGAATGTACTCTTATTACACATATAAGAGGAATGGCTAGCTGTGTCAGTCTGAAGTCAGACAGAAGGTGGGGCAAGGTGGCATCTTCAAGACCTAACTGGTTCAGAGAGGCATGTGTCCTACCTTCTACAAATATAAGAATGACTTATAAACAGAATACAGGAATCTTTACATTATTTTTATACCTTGTGACTTCAACTAGAAAAGATAAATCTTCTTTGAAGCTGGAATAAGACTGTTCATGCTTTCTGCACTCTCGTATCAGGCAATTCAGAAGAAGATGATGATCCAGCAGGGCCTGTTGGACAAGCATGGCAAACCGAACCAGAGCACGCCAGCTTCTTGGGAGAAGGAATATGTAGACTACAGGTAACATTGTGTTTATGAGAGACCTGTTGAGGGGCAGGCTGGGGGGGTGACTTCTGCTAGTCTTTCTAAACTGAACTATGCGCATACAGGAGACCCTCGCCATTCATGGGGAATCCATTCTGGAAATCCCTGCCAATGGTGAAATCCACGAATACAGACAGGGCTCCCTGTCAGATGCCACAGCCACCCCCTGCCCCCAACCCCCCATGAGAATCTGGAAGTGCGGGGCTTCCCTGCAGTACCTGGGGACCGACTGCGGCTGCCTCCGGGGGGGAGAAGATGCTGCTGCCTCCTGCTCCGCCTGCCCAGCTCTGCCCTCCTCTGTGCAGCACTCCATGCCTGCTTACGTAGAGGCAGGAGCTTGGTGCAGTGCCAGAGCGAGCTGCGGCGGCACTTGCCCCAACCCACTCCATTGGCGTGGCACGACACACCACAAATATTCGAATCCACGAATAGTGAGGGTTTCCTGTAGTCTTCACAATGTTCAATTGTCCCTCAATTTTCGGGACCCTATTGACTTCTTAAAAAAATCTTTGTTCAATGAAAAGTCACTGATTTGGAAATGCCCGGCAAGGTGTGTATTTACAGCCTCTAGTTGGCAGTTGTCGTGGTGCCCATTGTCCTTGTGCAGTGCTGTTTGACCTGCACCCATCTACTGCCCCATGAGTTAAATGGCATGCAGACAGTTATCCCTTTCTAGCCTGATACTTGTGGCTCTAGAGGGAGTCAGTCTGCTACATCAAGCAGGGGAACCTCAGCCTTTTTCCAGCACAGCTGGGTGCTGATGCAGACTTCAGGCTTCCCATACACCAAGTACCTTTGGTATCTTGGAATACCACAGGATGTACAGTGCTTCACCTGTGTAGCAGCAGGAGACTGAGGGATGGGACTTGGTCTGAGAGGAAAGTAACTCTAGAGAATGAATTCTGCTCACTCAAGTGTGTTTTTCCTTTCAGGATCACTGTTAAGAAAGAGGAAAAAGCCATCACATCTTGCGAGGCAGAGAGGACACCAAAGGTTGGTGTCTAGTCCTCTTACAAAATGTATTTCAGACATGGATGGTGGGTGGCAATAAATATCGTTGCCTTGGTAGGTTAGTTCATGAAGTTAAAGCTCTGTATTGCTGCTTTGGGGGAGGGTTTTGAAGGCCTGTTGCAGAACTTAGTGCACAGGTTCTCCTTGTGTTCATTTATTAGTACATCAGAGTAAGTTTTAACATGTAATGTATTAGCCAGCAAGCTGGATGATTAATAGAGATGTTAGGCTTTGGGAATTACTTGAGGCACAAGGCTTAGGAACCAGAGTTCAAAAGGACAGAAGGCTACGACCCTGGATGTGAATGAAGGGCTCTGATGGGATTCCAGAAGCATAATGCATCAGCCCAATTTTGAGGCTTTACCCAGCTTAGAAGCCAGCCAGTGCATATGACTGGAGGCAGAGTATATTGGATCCAAGTGCCTGAACCTCTATTTGGGTCTTGGTACCTTGTATTCAAATGATGATTCCCAGAAAGGAGCAGCACAGATCTCTCAACTTGTAGATGGAACGTTGCCAGGGAATTGGTGTGCCATGCTGCTCCTGTACATGGGAGCAGCATCAGGGATTGTCTAGAATCTTTCAGAAGCTCGTAGACAAGTTCCTCAGTCTGTTTTCCATTCCTATATATATGCCACTTAACTGCATATTACTAGGCATACTTCTTCCTTGCTGGGGGAGCAGGGAGGAAGGGCCATTCAGACCTGTATAAAATATTCCTCTTCATCAGTCTTAACGCTTTGGGGAGAGAATCTGTCCTAAATGTGTCTTCCCCCTTAAACAGCGAAAGCGAGAGACGGAAAGTGAAAGTGAAGAGGTGACAGTGGCTACCTTGTCCCCAACCACTCCAGAGCCTGAGGAGCTGAGCAAGAAGGAAAAGAAAAAGAAGAAAAAAGAGAAGAAGGCCAGAGAAGCTGCGGAGAGTGCAGGCGAGCAAATGGAAGTGGTAGGTACCTGTGCAGTGCCCTTGTGCAGCCCAAGCTGAAGAGTTCCATTAGATTTGCCAGGCAGGGCTGGTAGTTAAACTGGTGGATGCTTCCTTGATGAAGACAGGGCACTGGACTGGTACAGTTAAGTACATTTTGAAAGAGGACTTCTCTTGTTGGAGCCTGGGCCTGTGAGCTTAAGGGAGTTATTGTAGGGAGCAGGGTCTGGTAAATGCTTTCCAAAGGAAGCATGTCAGAGAGCCTCCATGGGGTTGGAATTCTCCCCCATGAGGTAGTTCTGTGCAGAATAGTCAGGGATTCCTCTTACCATTCTGGAAGAACCTGCAGATCCAATACTGGTCTTCTGTGCCCTTTCCTTTGGTGTAGTGTAATGTTTGCTTCCAATAAACATGCTCCCTGGACTGCAGTTCACTGCAGATGGTCAATTACTGACCTGCTCATCTCAGTTTGGGGCAGTGGGGTATTTCCTTCTGAACCTGTGGAATTGGGAAGCCTGGGCCTGAGGGGATGAGAGCACAAGTGAGACTTTTTCAGGTCCATATTTTTAGAAATGACTGAGTGACCTGAAGAATGGCTTGCATTTAAAGTTTATCTAACTCTGTCCCAACTTTGCAGTTGGTCCAGTAAAAGATACCACCCTAAGAAATCCCTTGCCTCTTCCATTAGAGTATGAGTCTATCTCTGGCCTTCCTGAGTTCTCTGTCCTCTCCACAGGCTGGTGACAGCAGTGCCAAGAAAAAGAAGAAGAAGAAAAAACAAAAGGAGGCTGAAGAGAGCTCTGAATAAAACTGGTTTCTGGTTGGAGAGGAGGAACTTGAGAACAAATAACTGTTCCCCCAGCAGGGCAGAAAGACTGACCACGCAGCGAGGGGCCTGCAGTGTGACAAGGCCCCTCATCTGCTTGCACGCAAACAGGAGACTCTCTCTGCAAAGGGCCATAGCCTACTCACCGTAAGCCCTCTTCATCCTGTTTTAAGGGTAACGAGGGTAGGGAGCACAAACAGCCACCGCACTGGACTGTTAGAAGCTACCACAGACTGGGCACCTTGTGCATAGAAACGGTGTCCTCAGGGTATCAACAGCTCTGGCTACAAATAGGTTATCTTAACCAGTGTTTCCAGCTTCCACCACAAATGGGGAATAACACTTTTTCCCTTGTTCTACCTTTCTCCTTTGTTTAGTGCTGAGAGTCATTACCCCAGACAGTTGCCAGATGCTTTTAAAGCTGATGGGGTTGGCCTTGAGGTACTTACTGAGGAGGGCATGTGGAGGGGGG